GAAGATGGCTGCTGCCGTCCAACGTAACTGGTTCCAGCTTTTGCCGTACATTGCCTGGTGCTACAATACATCCGTCCACAAAACAACGCACGAACCATCCTTCTTGGTGTTTGGTAGGGGCCCCATCTTTTGCGTCGATGTTATTTTGGACCCATAACACGTGAGGTGTTACGCCGAAATTGGCGTAAAATGTACAGGGCTCAGCTCATCAAGCGTCTGCGTATAGCTTAGCAGCATGCAGCACAGTGGTCGGCTCATGCGTTTCTCCAAATGAAACAGCAGTACGAAAAAAAGAGCGCAGCCATCATGTTAAAGTTGGCGACAGAGTTTGGCTTAAATCTCGTTCGCCTACTAAAGGCCTCTCACGAAAATTAACTCTGCTGTGGGAGGGTCAATATCAAGTAGTAGATGTCGAAGACGATCACGCTACCATCCTCAGCATTGCTGCACCTCAAAGTAAACCAAAAATTACTATTTTTAATCAAATTAAATCATTTCATCTACTTGGGGAACAGAACAGCACCCAAACACAAATGGGCATGGTTCTCGTGTACCTCGTGCCTCAACAGACGAAAGAACCTGGCCAGTCGGTAACCGCATAGTATAACTAGTGGCGCCGTAGCGAATGAAACTTCTAGTCCCGTACGCACTTTTATTTTTCTTTTTGGATTTTGTTTTTCTTTCCTTTACATTTTGTCCTTTTTTTACCGCATTCATACATATGTCTCATGTTATTCTTTTATTTTTGCCTTTCTCTTTTCACGCGCCCCATCTCACGCGCTTTTCACATCTCGCTCTCACGTGATGCGTGCGTGCTGTGTCATATACGTTATGCCACCACCGCCCGGTTTTTCAGCATGAAGAAATTCGCGACCGAAGTACTCACGCTCGCCTGTTGGACCAGTTACAAAATTTCTATCATGTGCGGCGAAAGTAAATGGATTGCGGTGTTGAGCGAAGCCGTTGATGATGCGCCAGTAGTTCTTCTTTGTGGCCGAAACTCTTCGTGGGATGAAGAAAACTATCGCGCTAGTGTGTCTTCTCCGATACGCTTGGGACCTGGAGATGCAGTCATGGTTAAGATGGTTGCTGGACTGTTTGTTAGAGGCGACAATATCTTCGTCCCAAGGCGCAGTCCTATTGTTGTCAACGTCCAGTCAGGGACAATCAGGCCACATGCCAGGGCGGTCCTCATAAAACTTACCCGACCGCGGTGAACAACTGCAGTCATGCTCGCAATCGAATGGAATCCGCGTCGTGGCGGAGTGGTCACAGTGGTTGACTCGCTTAACGGCAGGACGGTCACTCTCTCGCGCAGCAAGCAAGCATTGAATAGTGGCGCACGCTTCGAACTCCAGCATGTCAAGCTGTATTACTCACCCAACGACAAGGGTACTCAGAAAGTTTTTAACACTAATTTAGTGCTGCCTCCAGGGGCGCAACTCAGTGACTCTTACGGCGTAACGCTTGCCTGAAGCGAACAATGGAAACCGATTTATGCAATGATACCATCGCGGGTGGAGATAATGCACACGTCGAATCCATATTGCGAGGCGAGGATGTGGAGACGTTCGAGCGGGCCTTGCTAACTGCAACCACGTACCAGGCTCACATTCAAGTGGATGCAGTGAACGTCACACCACGATAGGCGAAAGCCGTTACGACGAAAAGACTTGCTGCGTATTACGTTGCCGATGTATAATCAAAGTCCAAAACGCATAACGGAAATGTACAAGGCCTACAAAGCCAATTCCAAAACTGCGGTAAGACTCGCACTGAAGTGGGCTATGAAGGTGCAGTGGAGGCCGCGGTGCGGTCATTGGACTTCTCAGCCACCGGCACGCTGCATGTAGAGTTGTGCTGCGATTCTGAGGAACTGACGCGCAAGTGGGCAGTGCTTCCATCCTATCTGTCAGGAAAAGAGTGCAACATTAAGCATGCTACCAGAAATATAGTGCCAACAGTCACCGGCATTGTTTCGCGGAAGGACAGCTGTGTGCCATCGTGGGAGATTTGGAGGACAATTCACAACTTGCACACATTCTTCGCGCACTTCTTGGTGGCCCATTCATTCCGCAGCCGTCTTTGGCTGCAATAATGCAGAACGGAGCACCAGATGACTGCTCAGCGGCAAAAGCTATGCAAAAGAAGGCTATCATACTAGGCGGGGACCAACATACTCCGGTGTTGTTGACAGAAGCACCAGTTGACTCCGGGAAGAGCTGGCTGCTGAAGCAAGTAATACCGGAATTACTGCATTCTCTCCAAAAAGCGGAAAGGAGCTTGGTTGCGCTAGTTGTCACAGCAACTACCAATGCGGCCCTGAAGCATCTCATCGCCGAAATTCAACCTCATTTGGTCTCTGGTCACCACAAGCAACTTTGGATCCTGGCAAGATCGAGTTATGAGTTCAGTCCGTTAAAAGACGTCGAATTTTCTTTTTTGAAAGCGCTGCAAGGAGTAGCAGGAGCTGCATAGGGAGCGCTAACGGACAATGAATATAAACTAGCTTCCAGTTTGTGGCATCAAATATCCAGTTACACCAGTGAGGAATATGAAACCGAACAACCGAACATCACTTCAGAACGTTGAAACAAACCAACGTTGAAGGATGGAATGAAATTGCTGGACAAACTTTATAAACCAGACATCATTTTCGGCCCTATCAGCATGATCGGTCAGGTTGCTTCAGTAGCAAATCGGGTAACAGTATTAGTATTTGATGAAGCGGGTTTGGCAACTGGGATAGAGATCCTGGGAGCCGTTTTGCAGTGGCCACTTTTGAACAAGTTGGTTATGGTGGCAGATTCTAAACAAATCGTGGGACGGTCAGTCCTAAGAGCTCACGGTATCGCTGGCTTAAAATTTGGTTCCATTTTCGTAGCCGCTTCGCAAAGGGAAGCAGTACCGGTAATATAGCTGAACGTCACCTTTCGCTTTCACCCATCAATTACCAACTTGTTATCAGCCGCATCATACAGCGGTCGGTTACGCACTACGATTCAGCGTCAACAACGTTCGCTATTTTCGATGTTTCCAACTCCGGTAAAAGATGAGCCAGTTATCTTCATCCATGTTGAGAAATTCGACGAGTAAATTGTTTTCGAGGAAAAACATCAAGCAAACGGAAATAGGTGCAGCGATATTTGAGGCGCTACAAGACCTGACGCAGTACACGGCTTCATTTTTATGCGTTTTTGCTGTGCAGCGCTACAGCAGCGCTATAGCGCTGCACAGCCAGCAAAAACGCATATTGTCGAGAGGCTGTCTGTGCGTGTGTGTTCGGAAAGCGAGTGCATTTTGTCACCCACTTTCATCTCGGCAACCAGGAAAGCTGGGAGGCTGAAACTTTGGATATATGTTCCTACTCCGTGTGTCATCCTTCCGTTTTAAGATCTTTCCCCATACGAGCCTAGGCCCCGTGTACGGGACCCTCAAAGAAACTTGTTAGCGGGAAACGATTTCGCGAACCAGGCAATGTAGAAAGCTGAAACTTTGCAGAGATATTCTCTATGCATGTGCGAAATAAAAATTTTAAACTCAGCTCTCCAGCTTCCCAACCACAGCTTCAAGCAGCCGTCTGTCCGGATATTTCAACTAAGCAAGCTCCAACGCCAAAATTTTTCCAGTTGGTTCCCCGGCCTAACTTCAAGGGCCAGTATGTCACATGGCTAGTTACGTGATTCCTTGCTGTCTGGCTACAGCACGAAATAGTGCAAGAGCTGATGATCACACCGACCTGCCTGGTGCGTTCCAGCCTAGGTTTTCTGCTGCTGTGCTTCCAGCCCTTTCCTGGATCATTCGCCAGAGCTTCATAAGTTCTAACGTTTCGTGGTTGTCGCTGAACTCGCTCAGTTCACATGTGTAGCTCTTTGACTTCATCGAACAAATCCACATGATCCCAGTCTGCAATCCTCTTTTTTTCAACTTCCAATTTGATCCTGGAGAGCACTTTTCTTTTGACAATTCCAGTTGGGTTATTCCCCTCTTGATGAAAAAACTTGTCAGACTGATTTAATTGCGTCGTTATTGCCCTTTTATAGTCTGTATTTCACGGCTTTAATTTGCATAGCAAGCCATTATGGATATCGGACCCAATTCCTACGCAATATCTGTATATTATGCTAAATTTAAATCAACCTAAAGTTGCGAAGCTGCTGCATCGTGCAGAATACTGGGAATTTATTGCCTAAAGCGAGGGTTGAATGCAACTCAGGAAACAATGCACTATGACTGGTGGTACGACTATGCATTTTGCGCGATTCCACCCTGCTTCAAAGCTTAATTTGATATTTTAAGTTACCCAGTTAGCAACTTACCCACAAAAAACTTTCACAGGCAGAAACGTACACGTGGGGGCTGAATTTGAAGTCATCAGATTGTGCATGGACAGAGAACATCCTCGTAAAATTCCGGCTTTCTAGCTTTCAGTTTCCCAAGTTAGCAGCCCGCAAAAGGCTTTACGGGCCCTTACATGGGGACCAGGTGGGAAAGAACGCCCATTTTGGGGATGAGGATCCGTACGCGCATGTAGATTGAGTTCCTAAAGTTTCAGTCCCTATCTTTTATAGGTCTCAGAATGAAAAATTGGTACAGACGCACACGCTGACATACAGGCGTGCAGAAACACAGACACACACACACACACACACACACACACAGATAAATCCTTGAAAATATGCGTTTTTGCTTTGCATGGATGCAAAAAACGCATAA